GTGTGTGCGCGTGCGTACGTACGCGTGTGCGTGCGCATGTGTTTGTGTGTGTTGTAGCGTAGAAGGGGGAGCGGTGGTGTAGCGGTTAGCGTGCTGTGCTACAAACTCGGCGACCCGAGTTTGATTCCCGCTCAAGGCCAACACCAGTGACGATTATCTGAACCGGTCCTGGGCCTCCTCTAGGTGGACAATGCTTCAAATGAGTACCTGGTGCGGTGTGTAAACATCGCCACTGGGGAGACAAAGGCGGTCGGGCGTGGTGTAGGCCACCCACCCCTCATGTGCTGTTCCGGCCTTCAAAGGTGCTCGCTAACAGCACTTGCCCCAACAGTCTGTTAAGGCTATACAGTGGGTATTTGTCTTTGTGGATGTGCATGTGTAGATGTTATGTATAGGTGTACAGTATGGAACTGGTATACAGGAGGTCATGGGTTCGATCCTGACCCTGACGCCTGTATATTGGGAGTTTGCACGTTCTCCGGGTCCCCTCCAGTTTATAATCAACGTGTGTTTCGACTATTTGGCTGCTATAAATTAGCACGTGATAAGCCACTTCGTTTAAATATCATTTGTGTCCAGGTCACTTCTGAAAAAAAGAGCTATACAGCTCAGTGCACCTTACCTAGTCAAATAAAAAGTTTAGTTTAGCACTTGCTCCAGCAGTCTGTAAGGCCACACATCAGGGATATTTGTATACTGTATTTGTGCGTGGACACGTGAATTGGGATTTTCGATGTGTGTGTGTGTGTGCACATTTGTGACACCAGCAGTTGCATCGAGTGTATGGTGGGCTAGACGTACGCTCGACGCCTGCCTTGCGTCCTACAACAACGGGATCGGCAGGGGGTGGACGGTGGCCCGTGCTCGGATCTGTCGCGCGACACGTCGCCCTTTTAGCACTTCACACGCTGCGAGTGCTGTGCCGGGGAGCAGAGAATTCTGAGTGGCGTGGGAGGAGGCGGGGACATCGTCATTACTGGGGGCCCATAAGGAATCATCGTGGGGTTGGGGGCTGCATATGTAAAGTGTGTGTTTTTTTATTTAATCACAAAGCGGGGTGGTGGTGGTGGTGGAGTTCTTTAAGGGGTGGGGAGCGGTTCTTTTTTTTTTGTTGCCGGGTTTTTTTGTTGTTGGTCTGTCACATGATAGGCCGGGCCGAGCCTGGGTCGCGACACAGCCAGCCTTTTGTGCTCTTTCTTTTCGCAAGCCACGGGCAAGAGGGGAGAGAAGCCGGGATCTCTGCTCCGCTGCCCATTACGCTCCGCGGACGCCCAAGCGCACGTTCGCACACACAGTTCTTCGCATTTGCGGTCGCGCGATATTCACGGATCGCCAGACGCACGCCCTCCGGGAAAGCGGTGGATTTTTTTTCACGGATGCTTTTCGCGAACTTGCCGAGACAGGGAATCCACGCGAGGGAAAGATGTTGACCTTCGCATCGACAAAACGGAGGTACTGTTGTGAGCGTTGCTTTCAATTCGTCGTTGATCAACATCGTTATTGTCGTCGCGTTTTCTGTGATTGAGCTGAGACGAGTTCGCGGACAACTTTTAACTTTGGTCAAAAACTTCTGCTCGATACTCCTTCTTATAATTTCTGAGCTGGAGCAGGGGTAGGGGGTGGGAGGGGGTGAAACCTGGATGTGCCATGTGTGGAAAGAACGTTAGTGTGATTCGTAACAGACGGACGACCAGGAAATGCTTGGAATGTTAGGTTCACCCTCATGTTTTGATTATGGAGTTGAATTTGTAATTTTGATTATGGATTGTTATCATACGTTATTTGTATCGTGCATTATTTAATATCTTTGCTGGCCGGGTAGTATACTTATGCCTAGTTATAAAATATATACAATATATTTTATTAATTAGAATCCACGCGCGTGTAACACCACGTTATTTAATTGTATCATTGCTCTGCTTAGATGATTGTTTTTTTAATTAAGGGGCTTAGCATACTCGTAAATATTCCTTTGGAATAATAATGTAGGGTAATAAGAAACAGCATGCAATGGAAATCCCCGCCACGCGTTATGTTTTCATCAGTGATAAACACATCTTGGTCCTGTTTCAGAATCGGAGCGCGACTGAGCGCGTGATGGTGGAATCGCAGCCTAGAATAAAAAAACTATCCATTTTTTTTTACCAGGTAAGGCCCACTGATCTATAGAGCTTTCTTTCAGAAGCGACCTGGTCACAAATGACAGCTCAACGATGCGCCTTATCACGTGCCAATTTAGCGCAGCCAGATACTCTAAAATGCGCGTTGATTGAAAATGCGTAGAGAAAATCTGGAGGACCCGAATGAGAAATCCACGCGACCAACAGAGAGAGACACGCAAACTCCAAATATACAGCAGCAGGTGTCAGGGTCGGGATCGAACCCACGACCTCCTGTACACTGGACGAGGTAGTTAACATCTCACCACAGAGAGAGAGACACGCAAACTCCAAATATACAGCAGCAGGCGTCAGGGTCGGGATCGAACCCACGACCTCCTGTACACTGGACGAGGTAGTTAACATCTCACCACAGAGAGAGAGACACGCAAACTCCAAATATACAGCAGCAGGCGTCAGGGTCGGGATCGAACCCACGACCTCCTGTACACCAGGCGAGGTAGTTAACATCTCACCACGGAGAGAGAGAGAGACACGCAAACTCCAAATATACAGCAGCAGGCGTCAGGGTCGGGATCGAACCCACGACCTCCTGTATACAAAGCGAGATAGTTCATATCTTGCCATCACAGCGCCTCCTTTGCGATTCTGTGATTATTGTTTTTTGCCATGGTTTCTGAGCACGGTTCCTGAGCGGCCAGCAACAAGCAGCGCTTGTGGAAGGTGTGAGACATGGCAGAGTTACAGGATTGCAGGCTCGTCGGAAGGTGCAGCCGCATAAGCGGTCACTTGACGGGAGCTCAGAAGTAGTTCTGTGAAATCTCCTTCTGTCAGCAGGTGGGAGAAGGGGGATAGGCAGGTGGGAGAAGGGGGATAGGCAGGTGGGAGAAGGGGGATATGCAGGTGGGAGAAGGGATAGGATATGCAGGTGGGAGAAGGGGGATATGCAGGCGGGAGAAGGGGGATATGCAGGTGGAAGAAGGGATAGGATATGCACGGCTACTGCTGTGCCAGACCACTGAATGGATCGTTTGTCTCGTGAAATTAATGCCGATGGTACAATGGGAATACAATTGAAGGTGGGGGGGGGGGGGAAGACCAAAGCAATCGATTGTTCTGCTTGTAGTGCATATGTGCTTAAAGTGATGCAGGCAAGTGCGTGCACTTTGCTATTTCTGTAAATTATATGCAAATGTTGCTATTCACGGTATTGGAAAAAAGTAAACGCAACGCAGAACAAATGACACACACAATGCAAACGAGCCAGCAGAATGCGTATTCTTGAATCAAATGACTTCACGGCACCCATGCGCGGTGTCGTATGAAGCGATCCAATTCTTACATTCTTTGAATCAAGTCCAGGCGGTTCCCAACCACGAATCAACCCATGAGCATGCATCCGTGTCTTCTTTGATCCCTTCCCCTCCCAACCTCACCCCGTCTCGTCTTCTTGGCAGCGCCATTCCACACTCCTCTCCTCTCTTCTGATTCCTTTCTCCCCTTTCCCATTTCTCGTGACGCGACCAGACCGCTTCAGTCAACCGAGAAGGGGTCGCCCTACGCTGCGCCGGTTTCGTTGAATTGCGTCGGGTGGGAGAGGAGCTGTTGCATCTCTAGTCCGCTACGATTGAGGCTGCGTTGTACAGGGGTGCCGTTAGATTCAAAGAGAAAGCCCTTGGCAGCAAAAAAAAACCTACGGGAACCGGATGACGAGGTGATAGTGTCGTACCTCGCTCTAAACTGCCAAGACCACAAATCGAATAACAGAGACACGCGATTGCAATATTGATTCCCTATTACAGTTATGCTTAAGCGAGCAAGGTCGGGTGACTCGTCCTGATGAATTAATGAACAGATTGATTCGTTTTATGCCAGCCTAAAGGTGGGGTGGGTGTATCGAGGCTGTGGGGAGTGTAGTTCCAATGCATGTTAGCTGAAAATTTTAATGCTGTGCGGTTAAGGGAGATTCAGAATCAGAATCTTTATTTAGACTGCAAGAAGAATCCGATGAGCTCTGAAAATCTTTTTCAGAGATATCCATTATGGGCAGGTCCGCGAGTTACAACAGAAAACAATTAAAAAAAACACGATAGGAGTGCAAAATAGAGACAAGTCACTAATTATAAATAATACGTACATTTATTACGTAAGTTAGATTTATCAATATTGGGCAAGGCAGCAAGAACAACAACAAAACAGACCCAGACAATACCAAGATAACACCACACAGTAGTAGTCCCTCACTAAAATGGCACATTAACATTGAACTATCGATTCAAAAACAGGCAATGACCAAAGTTACAAATAATATTTGCAAATGTGACTGCTGCAGGATATATATTTTTTGTCTGAAGGAAAATTCACGATATTAAGGGTTTGAAACAAGGTCGTTCCAAAACGCTGGCACTGCCATGGGGCCGTATTCTCGGTTGTAGCTCTGCTCTGGCTCGGCTGAGGCTGGAGCCTCTTCAGTGGCTTCAAAATACGCACGAGCGAGCGGCTCAAACCCTGGGCTTGGGGGCTCAGCTCTCGTGGAAATGCTTGGGACCATGCTCAGAAGCAGCTCACCTGAGCCGGAGCCAGGCCTGGGGCGGGGATGTTGGCCTAAATGGCCTGCGTGAATTTAAAGACGTGGGGTTAAATCGATGCGGACTGTGCCCTCGCTATCCCGCTCGCTCTGTCTCTCATGTACGTGTGTATGTTTAACTTCTTTCGCACCGCACATAGCCACCCGTGCCAATCGACCGAATCACCTGATTGCGTCTGATCTCGTGGGATCTCAGAAACCAAGGAAAGTCGAACACAGGATGGGCAAACACCAGCAGTGCTTGCCAGGTGTTGTAGGTTACGGGGCTGTAAGGCCTGTGGTCTCCATTACAGGCGGAGCTGGGAGAGTGGCTCTCCATGATCGGGCTGTCTCAGTATCAACGACTGCTGGTGGAGAGCGGCTATGACAGCGTGGAGTTCATTACGGACATTACTTGGGAGGACCTGCAGGAGATCGGTATCACTAAGCTAGGTGCCTCTTGCACTTACACTTCAGCTTGTCTTTCCCTCTGCCTGTGTATTAGTCTGTCTGTCCATCCGTCTGTATGTCCATCTCTTCACCTGCTTGTCTTACCATCTGTCTTTTCGTCAGCAAGCGATGTGTGTTCCCTATACCCGCAGAGTACCCGCAAGCCTGCGTGGCTCTATATCTACCCAAACTATGTGTATCCTCCATCTAAATCAATGTCTGTCAATCGTATGCGTTTGCTTCACCGTCCGTGTTTGTTTATGCACGTGGTCCGTAATCCAGCACGGTGGAAGCGAGGGTCGGTGAATCACACCGATGTTGTCAAACTCCTTCCCGTGGGCATCAACGTGTTGCTAAACCCTGGCTCGCCAGAAGTACGGCAAACACGTGCAGTCCCAGCTGTTCCGTCTGAATGAGAGAGTGTTCCACCACACGTGCGTGGGTTTCCTGCGGGTGCTCCGGTTTTCTCCGAAATGTGAACACTTATTAATTTACTGATAACACCCTGATATATAGAGGAACTCAGCGCTTGGGCATTTTTGGCACCACCTCACCGTGTGGCTGCCTTGCCGCTCTTTCGTGGATCCTGGCACCCCTGGGTCGTTTTCGCTCTTTGAGCTCATTGCAAATCGGAAAAAAAAGAAGACATTGCGTGTCTGACATTTTCCCTGACTTTGTCACCATCTGTCTAAACGTCCGTCGGTCTTCTCCACCCGTCGTTTCGTCATTTTGTCTGCGCTTGACGCAGTCCACGTAGTATAACCACCGGCCTGCAGTCGGGACAACGGCACGCGCATGAGCGGCAAATAAACAAATCTCGCATTTTGCACTGTTGTTGAATGTGAATCGGCCACCCTTCTTGGCCAATAACCCGAGGCGCACGCCGCCACCGTCTCGCCTGCCCCCACCCGGCTACCTGCCTGCCCGCCCGCCGCTAGGCCACCAGAAGAAGCTGATGTTGGCCGTGCGCAAGCTGCTGGAGTTGCAGCGAGCCGAGCGAGCCGCGTCGGGCGACGCCAACTCCCCCGAGCGCCGCCCTCCGCGCAGGGTCCGCCTCGCCTCCGCGAGCCAGGACAGCGGCGAGAGCCAGGACGGGCGGTCGGGCCGCGCGGGCGGCGCCCGAAGGGCGAGCAGCCCCCGCGTGGGCCGCTCCGGCACGGAGGGCGCCCTCCCCGAGGATCCTCCGTCGTCTCCGTCGTCTTCGTCGGCGACGCTCCCCGGCGGAAAGTCGACGGGCATGCAGGGCAAGCCGCGGAGCTGCGGCGGAGGCGGCGGAGGCGGCGGAGGCGGCGCGTCGCCGTACAAGGCCTTCACGCCGCCGCAGACACCCACCCGCTCCCGCCCGGCCTCGCCGCTCGTGCGGGCGGCCACGGGCGGCGCGCAGCTCGGCCTCTGCTCCCCCGAGCGGCCGCAGACCCCGCCGCCGGCGTCGGGGGCCGCCGCGCCGCGCCTGCAGTCGCAGCGCTCGCTGCCGCAGTCGCCCACGCGCAAGGGCTTCGCGTACGTCCCCGCGCAGCACCTGGAGGGCGGCGTGGCGCTCGTGGCCACGGGGAGGCTCGCCCAGCCCCAGCCGCAGCCGCCGCCGCCGCCGCCGCTGCCGCCGCCGCCCGGCGCCCAGGCGCTGCCCCTGCTGCGGCTGCCGGCGCAGGGCGCCGAGGAGGAGCTGGGCGGCGCCGAGGGCGGGTGGCGGGCGGGCGTGGCGGAGCCGTCCGACCAGCTGCTCGGCGAGCAGCAGGCGCACTGCCTGGACCTGGCGACGGCCGCGCTGCACCAGCAGCAGCAGCGGGTGAGCCGCAGCCAGTCGGCGCGGGCGGGACAGTGCGGCGGCGGCGGCGGCGGCGGCGTCGGTATCGGCGTCGGCGGCGTCGGGGGAGGCACGGTTGACCGCAACGTGAACCGGAGTCAGTCGTTCGCCGTGCGGCCCAAGAAGAAGGGGCCGCCGCCGCCGCCGCCCAAGCGCTACAGCTCGGCCATCACGAGCACGCAGTTCGGCGACGCGTTCGATCGCGACCGGGCCGCGGAGGCCGTCGCGATGATCGCGCCGCGTGGGGAGGCCGACGGCCCGGCGGCAGCAGCGGCCGATGCGAGCGAGGACAGCGGCATCGAGACGGCGAGCGCCGGCAGCGTGCGCAGCATCGCCGCCAAGCTGGAGATGACGTCGCTGGGCGGGCGCGGCCGGGGGTTGAGGCCGGGGCTCCTGCAGAAGCCGCTCAGGGTGGACAAGCCATCCCCGGCGGCGGCGGCGGCGTCGGCCATGCCGCCCGTTGCCATCGCTCGGCCGCTCGTGGCACGGGATGGCGGCTCGGACGCGGAGCAGCAGCAGCAGCAGCAGCAGCAACGGCACAGGGCCAAGGCGGTCAGCGTGCGCAGGGAGAGGTCGGGCGACCGGCCTCCGCCGTACGAGACGGCGACGCTGCCTCGCGTCAGCCGGCTCTCGTCGCGCTCGAGTGTGGACAGCGAGGATACGCTGAGCCTGATGCACGCTATCAAGCCGCTGCCCACCGCCAGCCTGAGCATCGACGAGCCCAACAACCACGTCGTCGCCGCCGCCGGCGTCGTCGGCACCGCCGCTGCGACCGTCGCGCCATCACCTTCCGACGGTGGTGGCAGCCGAAAGCGCACGCTCAGCGACTCCAGGTCGCACTCGCTCAAGGAAACATCACCAATTAAAGAAGCATTGCAGCAGCAGCAGCACAAGGACGAGGCTAAGTCGGACACGGAGGAGGAGGAGACGGCGGTGGCGGCATCGCTGGGCGGCCCCGCGGCACTCGCCGAGCGATCGCCCGCCTCGTCGCAGAACAGCTCCTCTGAGTGCATCCCCTTCGCCGAGGAGGGGAACCTCACCATCAAGCAGCGGCCCAAGCCCAAGCCCAGCGAGGACGACGACGACGACGCCGCCGCCGCTGCCGCAGCCGCCGGCGACGGGGACGGGGACGGGTCCGCCGCGTTCGCCGAGACGGAGCGCGGTGCGCCACCGCCCGCCGTGGGGGGACAGGCGGAGGAGCTCGCCGCGGGCTCTCCCGACTCGGAGTCGGAGTGTGCGGGCCTGCCGGAGTTCTATCTCATCGAGTCGGACACGGTCAAACGCAGGCCCAAGTCCAAGGACCAGAGGGAGCAGCCTCAGCAGCAGCAGCAGCAGCTGCTGCGGGCGAGGAAATCCTCCAGCGGGGGAGGCGAGGTCGTGGAGCGAGCGCTGGCGGACTGCGCCGTCGATCGCTCGGCGATGAGCGGCGGGAAGCCGGCGCGGCAGCGGCCGTACACGATCGCCGAGGCCGGCGCCGGGGCAGAGGCCGCGACGACGACGACGCCGCCGCCGCCGCACATGAGCGGCGCGCGCACCGACTCGGCGCTGGCTAGTCACGCGGCGGCGGCCGCCGGGTCGCCCGTGGCCCGCGCCGCCGACCTGCTGGGGGCAGCCGGCGCGGAGGCCGGGAGGCACGGCGCGGAGGCCGGGGGAGGGCGGCCGCCCAAGCCGCCGCTGTCGCCGAAACCGGCGTTGGCGTCGCACGCGCTCAAGAGGCTGGGGCCGCCGGCGCCGCCCAAAAAGACGTTGCTCCTCGCCAGCCCAGGTGAGTGCCCTTGGGTTGGTGGGGGCCGTGAAACTGATGGAGAGGCCGGGCCTCGCTCGTTTATAATCATTCCTCATCCATTTTCTGATTCCAGGGATTTTAAACATTCAATTTTTTTTTCTCTTTTTAGAATTTTGTAAGAAAACCTTTACTCTTTTTTTAAAGAGTAAAGGTCTTTTTTTCAACAGGATTCTGCCGGGAAATGTGATTTCCTTTCTCGAACAAAATTCTTAATTACATTACAATGGCGTTAAAATATTAACTCCATAAAAAAAAGTCATTCACGCCTATTTTTGCATGATTTATATTCGTATTAGTTGGGGGACAATTCAGATGCGATCTTTTGTAAGACTGTGGTTTAATTACATAAGCCCTGCTACTGACGCACACGGTCTGTGAATGGTATTGGTTCGCTAGACATGCCCTACTCATAGGGCAAGGTCAGACTAAAATTCTACATTGCCTTCAGTGTTGTGTACTAAACGCAGAAAATGCATTAGCATGTGGAGTGTAATGCTAAAATAAAAAAGGGGGCAAAGGCACGCAAGTTTTGAGCATTTAATAATCTGCAGGGCAGCGAGCTAATTACAGCATTGCCTAATTCAAACACACCCACACACACACACGTGATTGTAATCAAGTAATTCCTAACGACAACACAATAATTGTTATTTTAATTAACAACTCGTCGTACAACTCAAACACACAGCAGAGAGCTGCAGAGCACAAATGCAATTAACATCCGTAGCAAAAAATCATGATGACCTTACCTTTGCTGTTATCTTCGTTGTAGAGTTTCGGAGAAAAGGTGTACCACCTCCAGTGGCCCCCAAACCTCCGCTAGCCTTGAGAGCGGGAGTGACTGGCTGGTCTGCTGGCACCCACCAATCAGTACCAGCGGGACAGCAGCAGCAACCACAGCAACAGCAGCAGCAGCAACCACAGCAGCAGCAGAAACAACAACAACAACAGCAGGAGCAGCAACAGCCGTCATCCGCGAGTGGTGGCACCGGCGCCTCTCCGTCGCCCAACAAACCCCCGCTGAGCTCGTCCAGCAGCCCCCCGTCGGCGGCGTCCAGCCCGGCTCGAGCGGGACAGGCGGTCCCGTCCGCGGCGGCTCCGCGCAGCCCGCCCGCCGCCGCCGAGACGCCGCCGCCGCGGGCGCCGGCAAAACCGGCGAGGGAAGGGGAAGCGGCGGCGGCCGACGCCAAGGCCGGGAGAGCCGCGGAGGTCGGCGCCGAGCCGGGGAAGAGCGGCGCGCGGGCGACCGCCGATGACGGGGCGAGGGCGAGGATGGGGAGCGGTGGCGATGGAGCCGCCGCCGCCGCCGCCGCCGTCACTGCCACCGCACCGTCGGAAAACCCACGGGACGCCGCCGCCGTCGCCACCAAGTTGGCCCCCGGGGAATTGGCGCAGCAGCCATCGGCCAGGGAAGGCACAGGTACGCGTGCGTTCCTGTGATAGAGGCGGAGCGATTCATCGGCTGATGTAGAACAGGCGTGGTCGAGCGACAGCGCGGTTGACGCCTGTTGCAGAGGTTTGTGGTTCAAGCACAGCGGCCGCCATGGTGGCGAGCGGTGGTGGAGACACAGTGCCCTCGCCTTCGTTCAGAGGCCACGAAACCTGCAACGTTCTAACTGCCGTCCACTTTCACAGAGGTCTCTTCGACAACAAACTAGGTGAACAATCTCATGGAATAATCTTACTGCGGTCATTGGTAACCAACTCGCTACACTTGGGAACACTGTTTCATCACGGGCAGATGAAGCCCAGATTCGAACTAAGAACCTCAGCAGAGACCCTTGAGCTACCCGGCCACCTAACTAACCCGAATGATAACGGTCATGTTAGTTTAGGGGAACACTGCAGGGCACAAATGCAACACGAGGGCTTATGATTGAAGCTATTAATTTGCTGGGTGTCACTTACACTGATGGATGGATGGTGGTGGTGGTGGTGGTGTCTCCTTGCGCCCCAGGTGAAGCCAACCATTCCGGCAAGACTCCAAGCAGACCCGAGCTGTCTCGGGACGCCCCTTCCCTAGAGGAGCGCATTGAACAGCTGCAGAGACCAGAGTGAGCCCAACGCTTGCACACACATACACACAACAGCCAGACAAAGATCCACAGTGCAGCCTTTCAGTAGGCTGTTGGGGCAGTGCTGCTAGCAAGCCGGTATTGTCGTGGGTTGCCAGCACTGTCCTCTGCCACGTTGGTCTCCCCAAACACTGCACCAGGTACTTAGGGCTCATTTGACCTCGGGAAAGGCGCAGGACCCGTTTGTCACCGATGTTGGCTGCGTGCAAGTGTACACACACACGTGAACGCGTGGTGGTGTGGTTGACGTCATGCCCTTGGATCTCTGGTGCTGATGTTCACACACTACACCATGCACAACAACTCAGATGTACGGCCACTGCCTGTCACCGGGACACTTGCCTTTGCCTCCCTAGTTTTGCAACTAGGGAGGCAAAGGTGGCTGCACCAGGTACTCATTTGAGCCTGAGTCCACCTAGGGGAGGCCCAAGACCGATTCAAATAATTGTCATTGGTCTTGGCCGTGAGCAGGAATCGAACTTGTGTAGCCAGGTTCATGGGACAGCGCACTCCGTGATCACGCTCACACATAAAGTGAGGGAAAAAAGTATTTGATCCCCTGCTGATTTTGTACGTTTGCCCACTGACAAAGAAATGATCAGTCTATAATTTTAATGGTAGGTTTATTTGAACAGTGAGAGAGAATAACAACAACAAAATCCAGAAAAACGCATGTCAAAAATGTTATAAATTGATTTGCATTTTAATGAGGGAAATAAGTATTTGACCCCCTCTCAATCAGAAAGATTTATGACTCCCAGGTGTCTTTTATACAGGTAATGAGCTGAGATTAGGAGCACATTTTTAAAGGGAGTGCTCCTAATCTCAGCTTGTTACCTGTATAAAAGACACCTGTCCACAGAAGTAATCAATCAGATTCCAAACTCTCCACCATGGCCAAGACCAAAGAGTTATCCAAGGATGTCAGGGACAAGATTGTAGACCTACACAAGGCTGGAATGGGCTACAAGATCATTGCCAAGCAGCTTGGTGAGAAGGTGACAACAGTTGGTGCGATTATTCACGAATGGAAGAAACACAAAATAACTGTCAATCTCCCTCGGCCTGGGGCTCCATGCAAGATCTCACTTCGTGGAGTTGCAATGATCATGAGAACGGTGAGGAATCAGCCCAGAACTACACGGGAGGATCTTGTCAATGATCTCAAGGCAGCTGGGACCATAGTCACCAAGAAAACAATTGGTAACACACTATGCCGTGAAGGACTGAAATCCTGCAGCGCCCGCAAGGTCCCCCTGCTCAAGAATGCACATATACATGCCCGTCTGAAGTTTGCCAAGGAACATCTGAATGATTCAGAGGACAACTGGGTGAAAGTGTTGTGGTCAGATGAGACCAAAATGGAGCTCTTTGGCATCAACTCAACTTGCCGTGTTTGGAGGAGGAGGAATGCTGCCTATGACCCCAAGAACACCATCCCCACCGTCAAACATGGAGGTGGAAACATTATGCTTTGGGGGTGTTTTTTCTGCTAAGGGGACAGGACAACTTCACCGCATCAAAGGGACGATGGACGGGGCCATATACCGTCAAATCTTGGGTGAGAACCTCCTTCCCTCAGCCAGGGCATTGAAAATGGGTCGTGGATGGATATTCCAGCATGACAATGACCCAAAACACACGGCCAAGGCAACAAAGGAGTGGCTCAAGAAGAAGCACATTAAGGTCCTGGTGGCCTAGCCAGTCTCCAGACCTTAATCCCATAGAAAATCTGTGGGGGGAGCTGAAGGTTCGAGTTGCCAAACGTCAGCCTCGAAACCTTAATGACTTGGAGAAGGTCTGCAAAGAGGAGTGGGACAAAATCCCTCCTGAGATGTGTGCAAACCTGGTGGCCAACTACAAGAAACGTCTGACCTCTGTGATTGCCAGCAAGGGTTTTGCCACCAAGTACTAAGTCTGTTTTGCAGAGGGGTCAAATACTTATTTCCCTCATTAAAATGCAAATCAATTATAACATTTTTGACGTGTGTTTTTCTGGATTTTTTTGTTGTTATTCTGTCTCTCACTGTTCAAATAAACCTACCATTAAAATTATAGACTGATATATTTCTTTGTCAGTGGGCAAACGTACAAAATCAGCAGGGGATCAAATACTTTTTTCCCTCACTGTACACATACAAGCAGGCACACACACAATCACAATTTTATCGGTCAACAATAATTTTAAAGATTTCTTTAAAGAGACCGCATTGTAAAAGACGTGACGACTTGTCTAAACCCACAGCAAAACGTTGAAACTCACGCCGATGTGTTTGTCTGTGTGCGCGCATGCACCCATGCACAGTGTCGCCTCGGGAGAGCACAAATCTACGGGCAGCATTCTGGACGACATCGGGACCATGTTTGACGATCTTGCCGACGAGCTGGACGCCATGCTGGAGTAACGGAGCCGGTTGGGTGCCTCCCTGTGCCACGCAGCAAATGGCCCCGCGAAGGAAGTTCCACCACCACCACATTCCACCTGCCCCTCACCACCGCCACACCCCACCGCACCCCGTCCGGCCCCACCTCCCCTTCCCTCCAACCCTGACCTCACCCCTAACCTCACCACTGACCTGACCCCTGACCTCACCCAAGACCTCACCCCTGACCTCACTCCTGCACCACAGTTGCCCCCAAATCTGCCCCCTGGAGCTTTCGCTGTGAGCGTGAATGAATTTGCTCCTCTCGCCCCCTATCATTTTATCCAGTTCTTCCTTTCGGACTCGCTGCGTCGTTTTGCTGGACGTTCTCTCTGAAGCCCCTTGTCTCCGCTCGTTCTCCGGTCGACTCTCGCCGTTCACGTCCCGTCACCGTGAAGCCCATAGAGGCAGAGGGCCGCTCGTGAAACGAGGTGCAACGAAAGAGGGAAGAGACACGGACGGGCCTGAAGTTTGGGGGGGGGGAGCGGGCGGGGGGGGGGGGGGCTTCTTGTGCGCCCTCACGAAGCGAACGAGCGCCGTCAAAATTCGGGCCTTGTATTGCCGCTTGCGCCTCGTTCCTGCTGGCACCAAACCTCTCCCACGACCCCTGGCGAGGCCTCCCGAGGAGCAGCGTCGTGGAGGAATTGACCAGAACAGTCTTTTTCACTGGCACGTCACTTCATTGTCTCACTCCTAACGCCACTGTCAAGGTCATCATCGCTCTTAGGAGCTGCATGCCGTGATGCCACCTCAGAGTTGAGGACGAGGTCTTCCACGCCTGGCCTTGCTCTTCTCAACCGCGCTGCTTCCTACTGCCTCGCTGCAGAACAGAATCTTTCCTCATTCTCCTCCTCATCTCCCCGCACGGCTTTACTTTGGAACTGCCGTCCTTCTGCCTTTCCGACCCCAATTAAGGCCATCAGCCCTCGGCCCAGCAGTCTCGCTCGAGTTCTCACCGTTGCTAGCCACATCGCATTGAAAGCTTCAGGGACTCTACTTATCAACTGCATTTTGGAAGCACAGGAGAACTTCACTGGGGACGATGGCTCAACGGTTGCCGGTCGGTGAAGATGGGAGGGCTCCACAGAGTTACGTTCACGAGCTTCGGACCTTCTTAAATGGCTCGTGGGAGTTGCGCCTGGGGAAGGAACAAGCGTGGGGCAGTGCGGGGAGTTTGTGTGTGTGACACCGGGTGGCACCGGGGAGTGGGGCGAGAGAAGAAAGCAAGTGGAGGGGCCTTGGAGGGGGAAGTATTTTGCGTGCTGGAAGTCTTCGGTTAGTGCAGCGCAAGGGAAAGAAAAAACACAAACGCAAACCCAGCGGAGGCGATGACCATTATTGGGTTCTTCACGCCAAGTCTTCAAAAGCATTCGCACGTGACTATGAACGACCACCCCCCCCAAGCTTCAGCTATGATGTGCCCCAAACTAAACCGCCACAGGCTTTGCATTGGGAACTTACCATGGGTGGTGGGTGGTGGTGAGAGGTTTCAAGCTGCGGCATCAGAAAACTCACCTCGTTTGACGCCGCAGCAACAACATCATCGTCAACGAATCACGGGCGGGGGGGGGGGGTGACATTAAGAGAACCATGGAGCAGATGCTGAGGATTCAAACTGACTTGTAAATGAAAATATCCTAGCAGCGACAGCAGAAAATTAAAGAAATAGAAGGTGGGAAGACAAATTGAATAATTCCCAGGCACCGGCCCTGTGTTGTATCTTTTGCTCTGCCGTGTGGAGGTGATGTCTGTGTTGTTTCTCGACGGGGTTTTCCGCTTTAGTCCGAGTGCCACCGTGCGAGGCTGCTGCTGCTGCTGCTGCCGCGTGTTTAGGGTTTAGCGTTCGTGTCGCCTGTTTGAGCGCAGAGCTCCACGGACAATCAGCCAATCAACGTTTGCACTTACGTGGCTTCTTTCGTTTTTATATTGTGTTTGCCATCATTTGCGATTTGATATTCGGTGTTGCATTCTATTATTATTATTTGTTGATATTTTATGAGCAGACGACTGTAAGACAGAATGAAATACAGTCTTTAACTTTTTTTGTTTCGGATGTAAATTGTGCCTTTATTTTCCATCATTTTCATTTGTATAATATGACTTTAATGGGGTTTTTTTTCTCCAGCCGTACAATGACTGAAGTGGTTTTCCTGTCAAGTGTTCATAAAAGCTGTCAGTAATGCCCCACCTTTTTTTTGGGGGGGGGGGGGGATCATCTTGTGAAAGCAGCACGACCTAATGAAGTCACTGTTTTTACTGAAGCACACATTGCACACACTCGGGTTGATGGACCACAACTGCAAGCCGCAAATGCTTACACATCTGGTGAGCAAATAACTGAGACAGCAGCACAAGTGACAGATGGACCCAACGCATTTGAGGCGTCGGTGGCAACTTGGCTGCCGTTACGCAGTGGCATTAATCCCGGGTGGGTCCGGTGGGAGAGGATCAGGTGGGAGAGGATCAGGTGGGAGAGTGACGGCTTTAATCCAGATGTTTGGACACTCACAGACCACAACCGCTTGAGGTTGTCTGCCGACTGTGCATCCTCTGGGGGGGGGGGGGGGCTGGCAGGAGGCAGGAAGCAAGCCCGAGGCACAACATTTGTCACGATCATTCCGACTTTAAATTCAACTTGTTCTGCCGTGAAGTGACCGGATCAGAGCGATACCTTTGTTAGTGGCAACTAACGAAAAGGGCCTGTCCATTTCTTGTAGGCATGTTACAAGTAATCGCTTCACCCTCGGATGAATTATCAAACGCAAAAACCCCCCTTAACAAAAATTAATTTTGGTTTATTGTGAGTCTGTGAGTAAAATAAAAGCCCCCGAATGTGTTGAAGAAATGTCATTATACTTTCATAGCATTCGTATTAAAGCATAGCAGTCCACTAGAGTGGACATTAAGCATCAGAGGGTTAATATGAGTTATTACAATCACAATACATGCTTGTAAGAAAGAATAATTATACAGCCCTTGGTCTATCCTCTGCTGGACGAAGGCATCTCCACACCGCCGCATCGCCCACGGGAGTTGTTGGACCATACTTCACCACGCTGGTCAGTGCAGGTTGGTGAAGTGGGTGGGGCCCAGGACCGGTGCAGATATCATTCGTCACTGACGTTAGCCATTGACAGGAATCAAACTCAGAACGCCAGATTCATAGCCCAGTGAGCTAACAACTGCACCACCACTCCACGCCCAATTTTTTTTTTATCCAATCACATGGAAATTCAATTCAAGTGATACATTTAGGCTGATGGAACACCTTGACACAGTGCAAAAAGAATGTACAAGAAAACTGATGCTGATGATTTATCTAAATGAGGGATAAATTAATCTGGAATCAAATCCTGACATTGCATAAAATGGTGAGGTTAGGAAAATTGTTCCATACATATTGTAACCTCGGAAATAACCCTCTGATAACATTTGATACCGTGCAAACTTCCTGAAGGGGTGAAGGCACGTCACTGTTTTGCTTTGATCCACCCAGCGTTGAGAAGCCTGGCCGATGAGCCGACGCGAGAGAGGAACGAGGATCTGGCACTGGCCTCGCCCAAATGCCTTCGACTGAAAGACGTCGACCTGTCACGAACCCATTCGCCAATCGCCACCGCAGGTCCAAGACTAGCGAGGAGTTGACGTTGGGACTGAATGTTAACAATCGTAGTTACGCAGAGAAGGCGACGGTTGTGGGTGATAAGTTCGACAGTTTATCAGCAATGGCTGTGAATAACGAGCCATGGTTGTTTGTGTAGCAGAACATGATTTTGGTTCTGTATATACTGTACGTTGAACTTTTTTCGTACCGCACGTAGCCAACCGTGCTAATAGGAGGTGCTGGGGAAGGACAACGAACTAAACACAACAACAAAAAACAATTATGTTAGCAACACGTGCTTAATGACTGCATTCGTGTTAGTTTAAATTACCCTCGTTCCGTACTACTAGTCTTCTGATTAATTGGGCATTTGTTCACAATGCAATCTCTATTGTAATTACAGCCTCGTTCTGGTTTACATCCATTAAAGCCATTGGCAGTTGTATTGTGAATTTGCCGTTGTGGGGTGTAGGTGTACGTGATCAAGTTACATTCGATATGCTCGAGTTTGTGTAAGATGCAACCGTGCTCTGACATTTGGTGTTAAATGTTTGATACCCAATCAATGACTCGAGCCTTTTTGATTTCGAAACGCTCCATAGCTTACCGCGAATAGGGCTGCCAAGCATTCCAAGCTGAAACACGACGTGAGAAATACCCCTGGCTAAACATTGAACTCCGTTTGCGCGGTAAGCCGATACTTAATATTATTGAGCACAAATCTTCACGCAGTTGGTGGCCTAGCTGCATAAATAACCCACCTTATATTTTAATGAGAAATTAAAGAATCCATTCCAGTGAAGGCGTCTTCTTCAAGCAGCCACAGAGTCACACGGGGACATTAAAACGCTTGTTTTTGTGAAAAGTCGGGTGAGATGGTTTTGTGTAATTTACAGGCAAATAGTGGCCGATGCATTATTTTGTTCAATAACAAAGTGTTGATTCATTGCGTAAAATCGATTTAACTATCAATGCATGCATAAAATTGAGCACGAATTTATGATTTCCCATTTATGCCAATTGTTTTACAAATAATCAACAACACTGCTGTAATGGTGCAATTTAGGATAACAGTAGAAACGAAACTATTACACACAAGATGTAATTAATTTGGGAAAATACAAAGGAGAAGGTAACATTTTTACACATTTTATTCTTAAATATCACCACGACACGACAGTTAATGGCATCGCTCGTGGGAGCTGAAGCTGAACTTAGAAAGTCGTTGAGGGCCAAACGATCCGGACAATTATCAAGATTCATATCCATTCAATAGAGCGACCTCTGGTGGCTGTGGAAATCACATGGACCCATTACATACAACGTGATTGGATGCACGATTGGAAAAACTGATTTGAGTATGAATCGATACATTGTTGCAGCTCCACTCGTGATCAGCTCATCGCCAAACTCGACTGCAATGCACAGTGTGTTCCTGCAAACGCAGCTTATGACTAAATTTAGGGCAAAAAACTGTTGTGACTGTTACCATTTTTTTTTAATCTCTGAAAGGTATTGTGTGATTTTTATTTGAGCAAGGGCCGCTGAGAACTATGCGAGTTAATTTGAAAGTGTCACCTGCGATAAGAAAAGAAACCCCGTGTTTGTTTACTCCCTCTCTCTTTCCCTCTACTCCCTATTTTTTTTATTTATTTCATGCGTAATGTTATCGACCATTCAAAAGGAAACGACAATCTGAATCTGCTGATGTAGCGTGGCACCTAGCGGACGGGTGTGCCCACGACTCGCGCGGCGAGTAAGCTGTGATCACAGCAAGCGGCGCGACTCTCTCCGCCTGAGTGAAGCCTCACCGATGGCACGAACCGATTTTCCTCGTTCATATTGGGGCTCGTTTTAATTATTTAACGATGACAAAAAGTACCGCTTCTTTTGAGAAGTCCATCGGGTCATTTGGACAATCCGCCTCCTACCATGGGAATGTGGAATTTCGACCACCGACCGGCTCAGGGCCCCCAACAAAGATGAGTGCCACCAACGCAGCTTCAGCGGGTCACAGGACTCGCGTTCAGTTGGCTCCGACCTTCGCTTATTTTGACCAATAAAATTGCATTCGCATGTAATTGTGCACGTGGGAGGACAACCCAGAGTGCCCGGAGAAACTCCACGCATACGAGGAGCGAGACGGATAGCTAGACACCCCTCTCTCCCCCCAATAGAAAATGCATATCTCAAACTCACATGCTCTCTGAATAGAGCTACGGGCAATGCTTGCGGCAAACGACAGGATGAGGCTTGTAGTAGTGTGGGCCTTTGTCGATTAACTGCGATCACCCTTTCGTGTACAAAGCACAAGGCATATGAACGTATGGACTCGAGCCCACTTAAAGGGCCTTAGGAGCAAACACCACACTCTTTAACTGCCTTTCTGGGTCTTTGCTTAAAAATAATACCTTGCACAATTTCTGCTGGTCAAAACTCGGCCAGCGGGGTAAGATACAATTAGATTATATATTAAATATGATAATAATAATGAAAAGTATACGTATATTAAAAAAAATAATTATATATTATACACACACCGAGAGGTTGTGGACAAATGGCCGGGAGAAAATATTTACAAGTTAGACGTATTAACTGTACAGATACAAAAAAAATGAAGCACAGATGAGTAGTTGAGCGTAGCGCGGGTTCAGCTTTGTGTGTGTGTGTTGCGGTGTCTCGCGTGCGCGCGTGCGCGTGCATCAGCGCGCGTGCCCGTGTGTGCGTGTGCAGCATGTCAACGAACACAGCCAACGGCTGGTCGTGTTGCGGGCTGCTGCGTCTATGTTGTGTTGTTTTGTTTTTCTCTATGGGAATGTGGACGCTGGGCGAATGGGGATGATGTCCGGGCAGTTCTGTAATATCGTTGTGAGATGGTAAAAAGGCGACGTTGTGTTACTTTTGTCTTTTCGATGTCGCTAGCCCTCCGAACGTGGGATTCTTTACTGAGGTGGTGTCAAAACTATGTTCTGTGTTGCAAAAGAAAATCACGCAGGTGACCCATCCGTTCATTCACCTGTTTGGTTTCATAGGGCTGTAGGGACGAGCGCTCTGTGAACGAGCGCCTATTTAGGCTAGCACGGCACAAGTGATGGGGTTTGTTTGGGCATTCGGTGTGAATAACTTTACATCGATTGATGTATGTCGATGTTTATGCTTGCGATAGATACCTACATCGAATCGCGTATTACGTTTTTTCTTCTTCTTCTTCTTCTTCTTCCTCTTCTTCTTCTTCCTCCTCTTCTTCTTCTTCTGCTTCTTCTTCTTGTAGTTACTAAATTCGCGTAAGCCCTGCAGCCCCAAGAGGTGCTAACCATTCGAAGATAATATAATGGTATCGCTACCCTGAGACGAGTAACCCACTGAATCGTGCGGGAAGAAATTGGTTAGAGCCCTAATGGCCAACAGAATAGCTTGATTGACAGTGGGATCCAATAAATATTCGGATGGCGAATGATAATTGCCACCGGGCACGGTGGCCATTCGGACGCAGGTCGCCATACGCGCAGCGCAATGCGCTCAAGCACTGCAAAGCACCCCCGCTTCACGCAACCACGAGCGCGCGCACAAGAACGCCGGCACGCGGACGCTTGCTGACCTCAACCTGGCACACCACATTGCCTCGTTGTCAGCATCCGCGATGAGGGACATGGCTCCAGGGTTCGAGCTGACCCGCCACTGAGCGTGGTGTGCTCATCGTTGGCCCGGTCGTGTTGCAAGCACGGTGGTCCGCTCGTGCTGAGCGGACCACCGTGCATCTCTGTCGGCCTCAATGCTGTCAGACGTGCAAAAAAAAAAAAACAACCACGCAATACACACAAAGGAAATGTCACGTAAATGCTAGGTATGACAAAAAGATAAAAAAAAAGTGTGAAAAGGTGTTCAAAACGAGACACGCAAAAAAAAAACAGAGAAACCGAATTCCAATTGTTATCGTGAGGTGCGCTGTGTATTATGTGGTCTGTACATTTCAATGTTTGCTAGGACATTCGCTTTGTGCAGAATTCGCACGCAGTCTGAGCTGACAGTCGATGGCTACCCTAGGTTGTTTTATATATATAAGATGTGCGGCGATCGATCATCCCTTGCAAGACTCCCCCCTCCCCATGTATGGAGTTCAAGCAGGGTGGGAGTAGGGGCCTTGTGAGCAAACATGCACCCCCAATGAAATCTCCGGAACTCCCACTCAACCCCGAACACAATACAAATAAATGTAAGCTAAGGATAACGATGCTCGTGAAGGTGTGTGTCGCTCCCTTCTTTGTGTGCGTCGCTCTGCTTCCGTCGATTCGCGCTCGCGTCTAAGGGGGGGCGCGTGGGGAGCGGTGGGGCAGCGGTGAGCGCCGCCGCGCTACGAACCCGGCAGACCGAGTTCGATTTGCCGCTCAGGGCCAACACCGGCGACGATTATATTGAAATCGGTGCCTGGGCCTCACGTAGGTCGACTCAGCCTCAATTGAGTACCTGGCGCGGTGTGTAAACGTCGCCACTGGGGAGACAAAGGCTGTCGGGCGTGGTGCTGGCCACCCACCCTCTTCGTGCGCCGTGCCGGCCTTCAGAGGTGCTCGCTAACAGCACTTGCCCCAACAGTTTGTTCAGTCTATACGGGGGATCTTTGTCTCTGTGTTGCTCTACCCAGGAATCAAGCCGCCAAGAACACTCCCCTATGAGTACCCATCAAATCCCTATCGGGTTTTTTGGGCGAGACTGTCAAACCAAATTCGAAAAAGAGTTGTCCGTGAAGAGAGGGGCAGCACTTTCCCATTCGTGGAATTTGCCAGACATTCACAATGGAGGACCCGACTGAAAAAAAGAGTCTCAAGACTCACTGAGGCTTTTAAAAAAAAAAAATCTTGGTGTCATTCCCTGGCTCTTCGGATGTTAGCTAAAGTTTGCTAATATGTGGTACTCTACTTACAAGCTTTCGACTTATGAACTTTCAGAGATACGAACAAACCTGTCCGTATGCCCAGTTGCCTGTTCGGACCGAGAGTCATAAGTTCAACCGCCGCGCAACAGATGGCGGTGGTGGCATTATACATCTCCAGAACATTTAAAAACCCGTGGCATCTTCAGGAAATTATACAACTTTTAAATCCATTGCCCCTGTTTAGTGTACATGCCGTACAACAAGTTTGGAATCGACAGGAGTAAAGTTGGACTTACGAACAAATCGATTTCCGAACAGACCTCTGGACCTAACTCGTTCGTAAGTAGAAGAGTCCCTGTATCAGCTGGACGCTCACAACGCCTTGGCTTATAGTAATAGGTTTTACCCTTTTAACTGGCACAAAAACTGACTACCTTTATTCAAGGCATCATGTTTGCAATAACCACAACACAAGCAGTCAAAATGCAAACAAAATAGACAACTCTGATGATAATATGCACTGTCCTTGAATTTGATTGGTCCACACCCGAGACGGCTTTTCTTAGAGCCTAGTCTCCACTGGTGTTGGACCAGAAGACGCCAAAAGGCGTTGAATAAAGGTGCCCGTTTTTGTGCCAGTTAAAAGGGCAAAACCTATTACTATATCTCGTTACTGGCAAAGGAGGTCTCATAACGCTTTGGCTGTCTTTGCTTTCCTAGTCCACTGGGCGGCGCTGCAAGCGGGGACCTGCCCTGTGGACGGAAACAGACTGCCATGCATTGAGCTTGAATTGAGTACCGGTCACTTTCAACATTGGTATCTTTATTTTAAGATACGAATTATTACTGCAATGTGTTATGCTGTATTCTGCTTCATATTCAGCTGGTGGAGCAGAGGCGGTGCAGTGGTTAGCACACTGTGCTATGAAGCAGGCGATCTGAGCTCAATTCTTAGCCACGGCTAACATCAGCGGCGAGTGATAACTCAAAGTGGTCCCTGAATTGGCTCCCCTTTACCAACCCGCACGGACCGGCATGTTGAAGCATGGTAAAAAAAAAACACCCATATCTAATGTAGCGTGAGGAGGCATTCATCCAGCAGTGGATTGAATAGGGGTGAACCTTTCATTATTTAATTCGTAATCAGCGGTTGCGATGGTGGCCAATTGGGGGCGCCCCAGTGCATGCATGAGCCCCTCCCCAATCCTTTCGGTGTATAAACGACTCCGTGAGTTTTCAGTTTTCAGTTGATTTATTTTGGTATAGCCCTGTGAGCCGTTCGGGTCTTGAATTGGGTGCAACCACAACAAACAAAAAAACAAAAACACGAACAAGAAAAACATCTTAAAGTGACTATGTGTGACTTTGTGCAAACAGAAAATCCATGAAAAAACCCAGCAAAATATTCCTGAAAAAAGCACCGTACACCAACGCTGTGTGCGAAAAATCCCAGTGGGATGCAAGTCAAACAACAACAACAACAACAACCACAAGACAACTTAGATTAAGGCCATTAGTCTAACTCTGTACTACAACAAAACAAACATGTCCAAACCAAAAACTTTTCGAAATCACCAAAAAATAAAGCCATAATTGCAACGTAACAGTGATCACAGGGACTGTGACCGAATTTTTACAATAAACTACATAAATAACATGTAACACCAAATCCTAGAGCTATAGCTGGCTGCATGGAGTTACTCCACAACAACAGAAGCATCAGTCGGAGTATCAAATTTTTCAATGGACCTTTAAGATCAGCACGCTAAATCAAAATACAGATAATACTTTGCAACGTCATCCGGAGTGAAACATTTTAATTTATTTTACGCCAATGAATAGCAGTGGCAGCTAGGGGTGTACAACTCCTCTAGAGCAGTTTTGAGAGAAGCTCTCATTGGTAGCGATTCAAGTTGCAGTTTATTGGCAATAGCATTCCAGACCCTGGGGCATCAATAGCAAAGGCCCTTCCTCCAGTTTTTGTACGGCAATAGGGAATGTGAAGCTGGTAAATGAGCGAAGACCTGAGGTCAAATTTGTTCTTTGAAACAGAGAGGAGATCCAGCAGGTAGTCTGCGGATTTTTTTTGCAAGTACATCGTGAATAAATAAGATCTGGTGCACAAGCCGTCGAACATTAAGAGATGTTAAGTTTGACCCAATGTAGAGATCACAGTGGTGAGTCCTATATGGGCAGTTCAATGTAAATCTTAAGGCCGAGTGATAGATGGAATCAAGCTTCTTCAGTACAGTAATTGGGGCTGATTTATACACGATGTCACAGTAGTCAAGTAGAGGCAGTATGGTAGCTTTTATCAATTCCAAACGGAACATTGGGGGGAAGCAGTGCTTGTGTCGATACAGAAAACCAATTTTTATTTTTGTCTTTTTACCAATATAATCAATGTGATCTTCAAAATTCAGTTTGAATCCAGGATGACCCGAAGATACTTATAGAACTTGACTTGCTCTATTTGATAATTATTTAAGGAATGTAATTGGGGAAAAATAACTTCCTGCTTTAGTCCTGGTGAGAAGCATAGCACCTTGGTTTTGGAGGTATTCAGGACTAGTTTAAGAGCAATTAGCTGATGTTGTAGTTTGTTGAAATCACCCTGTAGCTTAGCAATCACGTCATCCGGAGAGCGGCCAGCAGTAATCAGTATCGTGTCATCTGCAAAAAGATTTACCCTGGAATGATCCAGGTCAGTGCCCAAGACATTGACATAAAGAGAGAACAAAAGGGGCTGACGATTGAACCCTGTGGAACCCCCTTTGTTATCTTAACACTGTTTGACCTCCAACCATCTGTGAACACAGTTTGGGTGCGAGAAAAGAGGTAATTTTGTAACCATTTTACTGCGTTTTCGGAAAAACCGAGGCAACTTAGTTTACTAAGTAGGATGTTGTGGTCTACTGTATCAAAAGCTTTGGACAGGTCTAGAAAAAGACAGGCACAGTACTGCTTATTATCAAGGCTACTGTAAATGTGATTCAGAGAGTCTAATGCAGCAGATGTGGTGCTGTATTTTTTTCGGAACCCAGATTGTTTTAGATGTAGTAGATTGTTGGTGGACAGGAAACTGCTCATTTGGTAGGTCAATAATTTTTCAAAAAATTTCATCAACGTGGACAAAATTGAGATAGGTCGGTAGGTATTTGGATCATCTTTAGGGCCCCCTTTGTGAAGTGGACGGACATAGGAATGTTTCCATTCTAGAGGAACTATAGGTTTGTATATTAGGTGACCAACAGTTAGTAGAGCAAAGACGGGAATACTATCTGCTCCGGTAGAGGAGGACCCTTTGAGGTAGGACAGTTGTTTCAGAACATTACTTTCGTGGATTGGCTGGAAACTAAATTTGTTTAATGTTTTGACAGGGGTGTAGGAATTTGCATGAGCAGGGGTGACTCCCAATACATTATCAAAAAGATAACCTACTTCAGAAAAATGAGATGACTATCCCGGATTTTTTAGGTTGGGTCTTGTGGGGACATTTATTAATTGAAACAGATTAAATTCATCTGCAAAATGTGTAGCCACGGCCGGCGGGTTTAGCCAATTTCAATTTAGATCACCCACCAAAACTATTTCACCTTTAGGGAGGCCCCCAAAAAGCTCTTTCAGTGCAGATGCAGCTTCAACATCCTTCCCACTAGGCGGTCGATGGCAGCACACTACCAATATCTGTTGATTATTTGGGAGAGTTATTTCGAGAGCCAGACCTTCAAAGCAACATTTTTGAAACAAGGAGTGAGCTAGTGAACATGCAATAGTATTACGAACACAGATTACAATTCCACCTCCTTTAGATTTTCGGTCAAGCCGAAAAAGATTGTAGTTGTCAATCGCAATCTGCAAGTCATTGACGGCAGGAGTGAGAAATGTTTCTGTTAGGCAAAAAATGTCCGGGTCAAGATTTGCCACTTCTAGTTTTAGTTGACTTAATTTGATCACAGGCCCTCTGATGTTGACATATAGAACACCAACACCTTTCCTGCCAGAAAAATCTACGTAATTACATGAGTTATTTTCATTTGGGCCAGGATGAAGCTCAATACCACCCAGAAATAAGAAAAGTAGAATTAATAGTTTGCACAAGTATTTTCTGTGAAAGGATGAAGAGCGGCGAACCTTGGACGAATAGCAGTAGCTCGCAGATGGTGTTATTTTTAAGAGCAGAATGAAGTTTGGAAGGAGTTCTGGTGAAGTAATGGGACAAAGATAGGGTTTAAAGGATACAATGATGGAGTGTAGAAGTGTCTATGAGCTGTTTCATTAGCAGGTATAGTGGCAAATCGAGCAACAAGTATGGACGCAAAGTAACGAGGGTAGCTGTTTGTAGAGTTGAGTGTGGCACTAGATATGGCC